GGGCCTTGCGGGGGGTAGCCCCTGTGGGGGCTATTTGGCCCCTGTTGGGGGGCTGTAACCCCTGTGTGGGGGCCATAGCCCCTGTGGGAGGAGTGCAAATATATATACATGAATTCATGAAACATGTATTTATAGTTCACTTTATTATTATGATAGAGACCTGGTAGGCTTCCACATTGCTTTAACACTGTAAATATATCTATAAAACCATGCCCAACTGATTGCTGTCTCTGTCTCACTCTCTCTCTCTTTATAGTGGTGTTTTGTTTTAATTGTGAAGGAAAGTGGATTTGGGGCTATTTTACAATGTGACTTTGGGATTTTTTTTATCAGGGATTTTTCAGTTTTCCAATAGGGAACACCAGAATTCCTAAGGAGGCCAGTGGCAGGGCCCTGCCTGCTCAGAGCTGGCACCTCAGATCCAGCTGGCTGCGGCTGACCTCCTGGCCAAATGGGGCCAGGAGGTCAGACTTAGGATGCATCTCTGAAAATGAGGAAACCCTGAGCTTCCCTAGTAGCAGAGTACTGCCCAGGGATCCCACATTTGTAGACATGTATGCTCAGGGAATCCTAAATGGGATACCTAGACAGGCACTCCCAGGGCTTCAGGGACCTGATCCTGTATGCTCCAGGAATGGGAAGTACTAGGGCATGCAGGATCTGGCCCCTGAAGTCCCAGGAGCACCTGCTCGGTTACCCATGTTTTCTTGCATTAAATAAAAAGATGGCCACAGCTAAATAGCAGCAAAAATTCATACCATTAATGTCATGGACACAAATTTGGGGCCCTTGTGGTATAACAAAGGGCCATTTATTTGCATGGCCTTTGTGCGACCATGAAAAATACCCTATCAGTTACACAATCCTATCTGATACACTCTGCTAAAATTCCTAAAAAGACAACATTTATATACTTAATGATCTGACAATGGCTTTCTTACATACTGGTATGCTTCTATCCTTAACATAAAGCAGGTTTCTAGGTTCATAGTTTTCAGAGACATTAGGGCTGGAAGGGACCTTGCAAGATCATCGGGTCCCGCCCCCTACCCAAGGGGCAGGATGTCTGTTGGGGTCAAATGATCCCAGCAAGATAAGCATCCAAGTGTATCTTAAAGTTTTCCAGAGTAGGTGCTTGCACCACTTCTGGGGGAAGTCTATTCCAGACTCTGGAGACTCAGACGGTAAAGAAGGTTTTTCTTACATCCAGCCTAAGACAGTCTTCCTGGAGTTTGTGACCGTTAGACCTTGTCCTCCCTTGGGGTTCCCTGGTAAACAGACTGTCACGGGGTGGGCCCTGGGAGTGGCCGTGATCTCCCTAGCGCCCCCTACCGTGCCAAGCTAATTGTTTAGCACCCTCTATCTCGCCCGCCACGTCTTGCTGTCATATGTCTTTAAGGGAGGCTGCCTTACTGTTTCCTATGACACGGTGCTCTGGTCGTACTGACCCATATCCCTTAATGAGTGACCCCGTGCACCCCAGCCTTATGGGCTATGCGTGCCTCCAACCTCCCCTTTAGCACGCCCCAAGCCTCGCAGATGTCCTGGATGTTGACTGGTCAGTTTCCCCTCTGCGCCCTGACTGGCGCTCTTGGACTTGCCACGCAACTAGCGCCCTTACTGGCGCTCCCGAGCTTGTCCTGTAACTCGCGCCCTTATCCTGGTTCCCCAGTATTTGCTAGCCCACTTAGGCCGGCTCACTATGCTGACTCCTTTAAGTTCTTACTAAGCTCACTCCTCTGGGCTTGTCTATATACTCACCCTGCTGGGCTTCTCCCTAAGTTTGCCCCTGGTGGGCTTCCCAATATGTTTGCCCCACTGGGCTTCTGTGTCGCCCACACTGGGGCCTTGCTCGTGCTTCCTGCGCCTCTCACCCTCCTCCAGGGCTCACTGCAATGCTCTCGCCCCCCCCCGGGGCTCTGTATGCCCTCACTGGGGTTCCCGCAGCTGAGGCCCTAGCAGCCTCCGCCTCACGTGGCCCCAGTCCCCTTTCCTGTGTATTGCACACCACTGGGCCGGGGTCGAGACACCCCTCCCAGCGCTCTCCACCACGCTACTTATCTCAATAGTCACCCCACTGGGGTTGGGGTTGAGATAAATCCACCACCATCATTATACTCACTAACATACTGTGTGCAGTGCTGGGTTATTAATTTGCATTATTACATTTT